CGCCTGCTGCCCCCTGCCTGGGCTGGGCTCGTGCGCGCCTGCTTGCCGCGGAGACGGCTTCGGGTAGGGCCCCTGTCGCGGCTGCCGGGACGGACGCCGCGGGCCAGTTCTCCTAGAGCTCTCGGGCCGGGCAGGGCCCGGCGGGACCGGGTCGGGACCGGGTGTGGGGGTGGGGTGGGGCCGGGTCGCCGGGTCCGGGAAGCGTCAGTGCGGGGTGCCTCGGGTCGGGTGGCTCACAGACGGCTCGAGGGAGGTGTCGAGGGGGAGACTGAGGCAGCTCCGGCCCCGAGGGAGCCGATGGGTCGCCGCAAGTCTAAGGGAGTTCCCGGGTCCCCCCCGCTCCGGATTCGGACCCGGGTCGCGGGCTGCTGGCGGCGCCGCGGGTGACAGGCCACCCCGGGCCCATCGGCCATTTTCCCGGTCGGCCCGGGAGGCGCCCGCTGCCCCCGCCTGCGCGGGAGGGGAGGGGAGGGGGAGGGGTGCCGGCCCCTCGGGCGGTCCTCACCACGCTGCCCGCTTGGTGCCCTTCAGGCCTGAGGTTGGAGCTCGAACCCTTCGCCATGCCGAGGGAGAGGAGGGAGAGGTGAGCGGTGGCCCGGCCCCGGGGAGGGAGCGGGTGTGCGGCGGTGGGGGAGGGGCAGCCGAGATTTAGGGGGGACGCACCCCCACCTCTGTGCCACCCTGGCCTTGCAGGGATGCGAAGGAACGGGGCTCTGTGAAGGAGGAAGGTGGCATGGATTTCTCTGTTCGCTCCAGGAAAAGGAAGGCAAATGTGGCCGTTGTGAGTACAAAGAGGACAGGTTGGGGAGGATTCCTTACCCCCTCCCCATCGTACCTGAGTACCAGACTTGGCTCATTTATTGCTTGGGGGTTAGGGTCAGGGTCCCTTTGGTAGAAATGGTGCTCATGATCTAATTAACTTTCTTTTTCTTCTCTCTCTCTCTCTTTCTGTCTTTGGATCATTTGGTGTTTCCTTGGGTGGGGGTTGTTTTATGTTAGTTTTTGCAGGATCCAGATGAAGAAATTGCCAAAATTGACAAGACTGTGAGAGGCCAGTGTGGCAGCAGTCAGGTAGGTGCGCTTGGCGACTGGGCCTAGCAGGAGGGCAGCCTCCTGCTCCCTGGTCAGACTGGGCCTCATGCGTTCTCACCTCCTGCTGAAGAGCTCTGGTTAGGGTTAGTTTTTCCCACCACAGCTCAGTGCACAGGGCTGAGCGCTCTGCCTGTCAGGGGGCACCAGCCTCTGGCTGTCTTGGGATTCCAGGAAGGTCTTGTGTTCCTGACTGACACAATCTGAGATCACAGATATGTGCAGATGCCTGGAAGAGCCAGCATGGACATCACATAGCTCAGGCCTCTACTGCCCATGAGACAGCCAGAGACCTGTGCAAGCCAGGGGCAGAGCTGGGCCACAGCCTTTCCTCTGAAGGTTGATGGACAGGGGAAGGTTCTTGTGCGTTTATAAGCAACAGCTCCCCCCTCCCCCCACACACAGACACTTATTTTTTTTGTCATGGTGCTTAAGAACAGTCTCCCATCTTCTTTAGTCAGGTTTCAAACTTGTCCCCTTTTCTGGCCTTGGAAAAGTTCTTCTGACCGGTCCAGCAGTTACCTACATTGGTCACTGCTGTCTGGGGCTAGACCTGGCCTCAGCAAGAGTATCAGTGGAATGTTCTGTGTAATAGTTTGTGTGTCTCAACACTTTTTTATTGGCTACTCCATTTGCCTCGCCCCTCCTTACCCAGCTCCTGCCAAATTTCCTGTGTGTAGTGATAATCATTATAATATCAGAACTTCCTTGCAGAAAAAGCTTGTATTATCTCTTTACCTCCAGGAATGGCTGGAGACTGTAGTTACAGCTCTGGCGGGGAAGCGGCCTATCTCCATGCTAGCTGGCTGGGCCTTCTGACTCTGTCACAGATAGAGCTGAGCAGTAATATTAATCGTCTGGAGTGCAGTGGGTGCAGCTAGATTAGCAGTGGGGAACACGTCGCTTTGCAGGGCAGTGAGCAACAGATGGGGCAGTGGGTCTGGAGGAGGGAAGGGCTTGCAGACTTTCAAAGTGACGGGCCACATTGTTTGTGATAGCACTAGTGACCGCCCATCAGAGCCTAGGGATAAGCATTTCTGAGGAAGCCCCAGTGAGTATTGAACGAGGAATGCATGCTCTCCTTCTCTGTTAGAAAATGCCCGTATTCCACTTTGGGAAAGGAAATAAAGAGTACATCCCAAGCTCTTTCTTCTCCTTTGTCCCCCCTTAAAAAGAATCTTCAAATCAAGCCAGTTGATTTTTGTTTTATAGAGTGAATCACTACTTTGTGAAATTCAAGATTGTTTATTTTCTCAGCTATGTTTTGAATAGAAATGAAATTTCTAACTGCAGATAAAGCAGAGCCATCCCTATTGACTTCTTAGAGTTTCAGCGTAATATCTGTTCTCAAAGATTACTTGGGGAGTGCCCAAGTGCCAAAGATTGGATTGTGGCTCTGCCATGTCGTTTCCCACTAGAAGGCATTTCCATGGCTGTCCAGAGATTAAATGACAACAGGTTTCTGTGCCATTTGGTGGAGTAGGTACCTTAAAAATTACTCCATTTATGAAGCAGTGAAGACAAGGAAATAATAAAGATAGATTAGATTCATGAAACTAGAACTTGGGGTTACAACAACCTTTTTACCTATTAATACATAGAATTTCGTCTGGAGCTAACCACGGTTCAGCCCAGTATCATGATGTTGAGGTAGATACTAGGAACCATTATGCTAAGACTCCATGCAACTGCTTCATTAAGACCTCCTGGAAGCTTTGATGGTTTTCATCTTGACTTTTCTTAATGAAGAGAATACCCTTTTATCTAAAATCTACTTGGCATGTTCATTTTTTAAATTTAGTTTATTTTCCGTGAGATCCAGCTTTTCTGCTGAAGCAGAATCCTAACCTATTGTTAGTTACTTCTCAGAAAATAATCTTGCAGGAGGTAAAAAAGGAGCAAGAGGAGTCAGGAGTGGTTAGGAACAATTGCCACCGGTCTCTTGCTGTTACCCTGTTCCTTCCTAATAAAATCAGATTGATCCTGCTTTCTTTGAAGTTTGGTACACCCTCAAGTTAAAGGACATAGACTTAATTATTCTGCCTCATCCACAGTTCCTAAAAAGAACTTTGGAAACCAACTTTGGAAACCACTTGTTTTCTTGTGGCTCAACCTAATTTGTCTATGAAATGCTGATTGGGAACTGCTACCAGCTCATCTCTAAAGACCTCTCTCAGAAGTACCAGACATCTGTCTGTAGAGGGTGCCTTCCAAGCCAGAATTAATTCTTCCTAAATGAAGAGCAACTGAGAGCAGCCACAGTGTGACCCTTTCCAGTCAAGGAAACTCGACCAGCACATGACACTAGAACCGAAAGGAAGCTGCCTTCCTGGCCCAGCTGCGGGCAGAAGTGTCGTGCGTGATTTGCATGCCTGGGTCTTTGTACACCGGGTGGGAAGAGCTTTGTCTAGCTTTGCTCTTCTTACTAACCGAAAGTGCCTGGGCTTCCTCTGGAGGTGGCCAGTGTGCCAAGGTGGCCACCACGTCCCGTGTCTGCAAGGTGGCACTTAGAGCCTGGTCTCCGTGCTCAGGTGTTCATGCTCGGCACCCCGCTTCTCTGTTTTGTTCTCATTAATAGTCTCTGCTTTCAAAAAACAAACACCCAGAGTCAGAGGGCATCCATGCCAGCAGGAGCATTACCTGCCTGATAGCTTTAGCAAGGTACTGTTTTATAACTTTAAAAATCAAGAATAAGTTTTCTTCTTCTTCTTTTTTTTTTTTTTGGCCAGGGCTGATTTGAACGCACTATCTCCGGTATATGGGGCAGCACCCTACTCCTTGAGCCACAGGTGCTGCCCTTCTTTTTCGAGTAGATGAACTTGAAACTTTAGAAAATTTTCCAAATGGCAAAATGACCTTGGTGTTTTCCAAATATTGAAAATTGCATAAGTACCTGAAGTCTCAAAAGAAAAGCATATTAGGTTTGGTTTCTCAGTTCATTCTCTTATCAGATAGTTGTCTTTTACTCTGTGCAAGGGTCTCAGGATTAAAAATCTTCAGGAGTATCTAGGACAGTGGTTCTCAACCTTCCTAATGCCACCATATATTTTCATGGTTACAAAGGGGTCGCAACCCACAGGTTGAGAATCACTGCTCTAAGCCCTTTCTCCATGGACTTAGGATGACCTGTGAATGCTTGATTTGGGTTTAACTCCCCACTCCCTCCTGGACTGGCTGATGGAGGTGAGCTAGGTGGATTTTTGTTTGTTTTGATTTGAGTAAAGGAAGACAAAAGATCTCCATTGTTAAATATATTTGGCTAGCTCTGTAACCAGAGGAAGATGTCACATTTGATGAGTTTTTGTTTTAAACTGAGAGGATGTTGATAAAGATGGCAGCTGGTTTGCAGTGTTGATCCTTTATACTTATGAGTAGTTACTGCCATGTAAATATTTTATTGGGAATTCTATGTTCTATTTTTAAGAAATTTTGGTAGATTGGTTGTACTTCGAATTGTGACAAAATAATCTCACCATGTGTCTTTTTTTAAGCCCTCGGGACATCTTGCCCAGTATCTACAAGTCTGTTTCTGCTGCTCTCTTTAATATGAGAACTATCTGCATTTTTTTTTTTTTTTTTTGAGACAGAGCCTCAAGCTGTCCCCCTGGGTAGAGTTCCGTGGCATCACAGCTCACAGCAACCTCCAACTCCTAAGCTCAAGCGAGTCTCCTGCCTCAGCCTCCCAAGTAGCTCAGACTATAGGCGCCTGCCACAACGCCCGGCTATTTTTTGGTTGCAGCCATCATTGTTATTTGGCGGGCCCGGGCTGGATTCGAACCTGCCAGCTCAGGTGTATATGGCTAGCGCCTTAGCCACTTGAACCACAGGCGCTGAGCCAGCTATTTGCATTTTATCTTTCTTCTCCTGCATCCATTTTGCTACTCAAGCACCTCATGTAAGCACAAGGATAGAATAGTACTGACTTCCTAGTTTTCTTAGGTTTTTACCACATATACCCCTTAGCTAATAGCAGGAATGAAATGAAGGCTTGGAGGCGTTAGTGTGGCTCTTACTAATCCACGCTGTCTTCACCATCTAACTTAGACAGAATATTTAGGCCTGGAGATTGTTCTCCAGTGTGAATATATATTTTCCCAAGTGCTAACTAATCTACAAATCAGTGAATGTAAAAAATACCTGGTTTATATTAAACATTTTTAAATGTGGTTTTCATTTACAGTCTTGGGACAGTAACACAGTCTGTGCAAACCCCTGTTCCTTGATCCCCACACCTGACAAAGAGGAGGATGAGCTGGTGTACCCGACTCCGACGTACAAGCCTCAGATCACGCCGTCCAGGGCCTCCCCACTGCCTCTGCTGAAGTAGGTGTTGATTCTGCCACGTGGCTTCCAGCTTCCCTGCCCACCTTCCAGCCCTCGGCAGGGTGGATGTGCACTGATACCTGTGTGAGTCTGGGTTTTTTGTTTTTGTTACTAGCTGGGCAAATCGAGAGGAAGTCTGGAAGATCATGCTGAACAAGGAGAAGACGTACCTGCGGGACCAGCACCTGCTGCAGCGGCACCCTCTGCTGCAGCCTCACATGCGCGCCATCCTCCTGGACTGGCTGATGGAGGTGAGCTCGTCCTCCCGGCACCGAGTGCTGACAGTTCCTGTGATCTCTGCCTGGGTTTCACCCGTCGACACGTTCTGTGTCCCTGAAGTGCAATGGTGTATTTACTGCAGTGGTCTTTTGACTTTTTGGCTTGCATTCCTAAGAGAATTTTTCTTTTCACAAATTCACTTTTATTTATTTCCTTTTCATCAGTTTAACTCCTTGAGGGGAAGGGCCACAGCACCACACGGCTTCTGTCTACGATGGCTTTAGCAGGAACACTGCTTTGGAACTTGGCGTGAGCCCTGCTGCTATTGCCGTGGGCCCGAGGTCCCTCTCCCCAGATGACTGCAGTTCTGCACCCAGAGTCACTGTGTTATTCTCTGCTTTGTCTACATAAGCACATTGCCTAAATAGAATTCAGTTTCATGTCAAGCATAAACTCCTTCAGTTTTATGTAAGAAGAGCTGTGTGGTTCTGAAGACCCCTCTGATAGCCGCCAGTAAAAACGGCCTGGACCACAGCCTTCCAGGCACACTTGCCTTTTAGATGTCCTGTTCCCGGCAGGGCTTCTCCGGCTCCGAGATGGCAGGAAGAGAAAAGCAAGCCTTAAAGAGTTTCTAAAATCTACAGCCCTTAGATGTTTTAAAATTGGTATCTAATGTTTTCCATTGGAATTTAAATACAGTAGACTCTCCATAGTTGACCTAATTTTCATAGACGAGACATGCACTGCCTGTAACGGACATGTCAGCACGGGGGCCCCAGTCCTTGTGTCGCCCACCCTGTATGCTGGACAGTTTGTTACAGTCCCGTGGGTGGTCACCTTACAGAGGGTCTACTATCATCACAAAAGTTGTGTTTTCCCCACAGAATATTGTCCTAACAAAAGATATATATATTTTTTTGTTTTTGTTTCTTTTTAAGACAGTTTCATTATGTCGCCCTTGGTAGAGTGCTGTGGTGTCACAGCTCACAGCAACCTCAAACTTTTGGGTTTAAGTGATTCTCTTGCCTCAGCCTCCCAAGTAGCTGGGACAGTAGGAGCCCACCACGACACCTGGCTATTTTTTGTTGCAGCTGTCATTGTTACTTAGCTGACCTAGTCAGGGCTCGACCCTGCCACCTTCGGTGTATGTGGCTGGCACTGTAACCACTGTGGTATAGGCACCAAGACATAACAAAATATATTGATCTGTACTGTTATATGGCTGTGTAGCAATCAAAACAGCAAATATTATAAGTTTTGATGGATAGTTATTAAATTTAAAAAGTAGGATTTGACTGGTAGCTGCTCTGTTATGCAGGTGTAGTGCAGATGACAGAGAGGGCCTTGATTAAAGGAGGCTTCCTAGACAGTCTTGTAAGACTGGTTGGTGAGAAGTGGGGTTTCTTCTGTGAAGTGGAAGAACTTTTCATGCAGATCTGTTTTATAAACAAAAATACATATAGAAGTTGTGTCTAACCATAGTAGTTTCCCCTTCTTCTTGGGGAGTATGTCCCAAGACCCCAGTAGAGGCGGCAGACGCAGACCCTCTGTGTGTTATGTGTTTTGCCTATATAGTATGTTACAGCTCTGGCACGTCAGAATTGACAGAGTCACCACTCTGTGCTTTTGGGTCATTATTCAGTAAAGTGAGGGTTCCTTGAATGAAGCCCTGCACTACTGCACCAGTCCAGTCCATCTGGTAACCAAGATAGCCCCTGAGTGACTGACGGGCGGGTAGTGCAGACAGCGTCATATGCTAGACCAAGGGGTGATTCATGTCCCAGGCAGGTGGGAGCAGGATGAGCCAGGAGGCCGCACAAGTTAAAGCTTTTAAGATTTTAATCACTGGAGCTTTCCATTTACTGTTTTCAGACTGTAGTTTACAGTCTGAAAGGTAACTTGAACCCTCAGAAAACAAAATGGCGGGTGAGGAGGGTCCGCTCTGTTTGCGGGAAACAGAGGTGCTGTCTGCCCTTTGGAGAGTCAGTGTTCCCAGGGTTACACACGCCTGAGCGGTGCCAGTCCTAGGACCACATGCCCGGTGCCACTCACCACCTGCATGCCTCGAGTCCCAGGCTCCTCCTCTGTGATACTTTCTAGCACTATTTTCCTTATAGAGTTTATACCGATTAGAAATGGTGTGTGTGAAATTTTTGTCATTTTTGTGTTTCTTCATCGGTTCCTGAAAATGCCAACATTTTTGAGCTGAATTCTTTGGCAGTCTTACTTTTTTTTTTTTTTTTAGAGACAGAATCTCACTTTGTCACCCTCGGTAGAGTTCCGTGGCGTCACAGCTCACAGCAACCTCCAACTCTTGGGCTTAGGCGATTCTCTTGCTTCAGCCTTCAGAGTAGCTGGGACTACAGGCATCCACCACAACACCCAGCTTTTTTTTTTAATTGCAATTTGGCCAGGGCCAGGTTTGAACCCACCACCCTTGGTATATTGGGCTGGCACCCTACCCACTAAGCCACAGGCACTGCCCACTGCCCGACTATTTTTTTGTTGCAGTTTGCCTGGGGCCAGGTTTGAACCTGCCACCCTTGGTATATGGGGCCGGCGCCCTACCCACTGAATCCACACTTTTAAAAGTCGAGGCCTCATAGGTGCCCATCATAAACCTACCAGGTCGCAAAGCCCTTCTGTACCCTTGGAAACATTTTATAATTTCTTGAAGCATTAGATGATCTTTTAGACTTCAACTCATTCTTCTAAAAATGCTATGATGGCAAAGTTCTGTTATATCTAATGCAATTGATGCCATTATACTTGGAAGAAGGTCAGTCTTTACAAATAGTCCTTATGGCTCAACCTGGACTTTAGTCTTTGGTAATTGACAGAATTTTCTAGCAATATTCTGATTGTTTCTCCAGCTCTTTTTCTATGCATTAACCCCATGAATTGCAGTTATGTGAGATGTGCCTTCCTGGAATGGCAGTGGTAGAGTTTATACACATAATCAGACATTTGGTGATGGTAGAGAATTGAGATCTAAGATTGTCTGGGTCCCTTTAAACCCCAACATGTACACTATTTTGCCAGATCCTCCTAATTTTGAGATATCTGAAATAAATGGGCTATTCCAAGTTAAAGACTAAACGAGGGCCTATGTCTCTGGATCTTCTGTTTAAAAAGAAAAGAAACAAACCTGTTGCCTCAGTTTTTTAGCATGTTATGATCTTTAAATAAATGAGTTCCAGCTTGTAAACTTCCTCAATTGTTATTGCTGGTTGTGAGAAAATAGGCCAGCTCTTTCCTTGAGTCGTAATGAAATTTATAAAGGAGGGGCAGCATTCTCTGAGAAAATCTGTAGTGGTTTTGCTGTTTGGGGTTTTGGTTTTTTTTCTTTTTGAGACAGTCTCACTATGTCACCCTCAGTAGAGTGCTGTGGCATCACAGCTCACAGCAACCTCCAACTCTTGAGCTTAAGCGATTCTCTTGCCTCAGCCTCCCCAAGTAACACCTGGCTGTTTTTCGTTACAGTTGCCATTGTTGTTTAGCTGGCCCAGGCTGGGTTCGAACCCTCCACTCTTGGTGTATGTGGCTGGCACCCTCACCACTGTGCTACAGGTGCTGAGCTGGGGTTTTAAGTTTTTTTTTTTTGCAGTTTTTGGCCGGGGCTGGGTTTGAACCCGCCACCTCCAAGGTATGGGGCTGGTGCCCTACTCCTTTGAGCCACAGGCACCATTCTAGGATTTTGATTTTTTAATAAAGATGCTGCTGTCCCCAGGCTGTGTCCTCTCCCTTTCCTGGCGACTGCAGATCACAGAGCACTTTGTCCTGATGTCTAAGTGCCAGTTTGCCACTGTGAGTGCACTTAGAAGGTGGTTTTGTTTTGTTTAAATGTTTTCACTGCAGTAACTGTTCTAAAACTCACCAAATATTTTTCAGGTGTGTGAAGTCTATAAACTCCACAGGGAGACCTTCTACTTGGCACAGGATTTCTTTGATCGGTATATGGCAACACAAGAGAACATTGTGAAAACACTTCTACAGCTTATTGGGATCTCATCTTTATTTATTGCAGCCAAACTTGAGGTAAATAATTTTCTAATGCTTTTTGTCTAATATGTGGTGTTTCTTCTTTTTTTTTTAAGAGTCTCACTATGTTGCCCTGGGTAGAGTGCCGTGGCATCACAACTCACAGCAACCTCAAACTCTTGGACTCAAGCAATTCTTTTGACTCAACCTCCCAAGTAGCTGGGACTACAGGCACCTGCCACAACACCTGGCTATGTTTTTGTTGTAATTGTCACTGTTGTGAGGCAGGCCTGGGCTGGGTTTGAACCCGCCAGCCCCAGTGTGTGTGGCCCGCGCCCTAGCCACTGAGCGGCAGGTGCCGAGCCTGCATGGTGTTTCCTGAGCTCCACTGTGCATCAGGTGGAGCTCAATTTCTATGATCGGAGACCTTCTGGAGTTAAGACGCAACAGAAAAGGCTGGAAAGTAATCAGGATGAGAGACGGTGTGGGCACCCTGAGCACTGGGGTCAATGCAGTGGTAGTGCATTGGTAGTGGTAGTGCAGGGTTACGCACTGGCACTGAACTTTGACCTAAGAAGATTAAAAGAAAACTTTGTTAACGCTTATAGAAGAGTGTTCGGACCCAACTTTCAAATACGTTATCAAAGGTGCTGAAAATACGAGAATTTCAGAAACATTTCCCACCACATGTGAAAGTTCTGTGTACTTTCATGTTTATTTACTGTGTGTAGGGGGTTCCATTTCACTAACCCACCTCGATCCAGTGGAAGGCTCTGTGCTAATCCCATCAATGTGCCTACCCCTCTCTTTCCACGCCAGGATACTAAAAAGAATCATTTTAGGTATGTATTGTAAGTGCAAACTGTTAGAGATTGGCTTTTGCTAGTGGTGTTTTCCTTTTATTCCCTTTCAGGAAATCTATCCTCCAAAGTTGCACCAGTTTGCTTATGTCACGGACGGGGCTTGTTCAGGAGATGAAATTCTTACCATGGAGTTAATGATTATGAAGGTAGGTTACAAGGTAATTTTTCAGTCATTGTTAAATGCATACGTAACATCATTCCCACATGAAGTGGAAATGCACCTCGCGGTGTCCCCAGCTGGACACACTGTGGTGGGCAACACGGCTGCGCTCGGACCCTTTATCTCAGCATTTGGTCTCTTTTCTGTTTCCCTTTAGGCTCTTAAGTGGCGCTTAAGTCCCCTGACCATTGTGTCCTGGCTGAATGTGTACCTGCAGGTCGCATATCTGAACGACTTACATGAAGTGCTCTTGCCACAGTATCCTCAGCAGATCTTTATTCAGATTGCAGAGGTAACGGCTCCCTTAGCTCTGCGGGGCTCCGTGCCCTGCGGTGGGGCAGGAGCTGGGGAAGTGGCAGTGCTGGCACGGTCTCAGCGCCCTCCTCCTCCCATAGCTCTTAGACCTCTGCGTCCTGGATGTGGACTGCTTAGAATTCTCCTACGGGGTGCTCGCTGCTTCTGCCTTGTATCATTTCTCTTCGTCTGAACTGATGCAAAAGGTTTCAGGTATGTGGGCTTTGCAGTGAGCATACAACCAGGACGTGTGCACCTTTCAACCACCGGTCAGCTGCAGGTGAGCACACAGTGTCCTCTCCTTGCAGGGTATCAGTGGTGTGACATAGAGCACTGTGTCAAGTGGATGGTCCCATTTGCCATGGTCATCAGGGAGACAGGCAGCTCGAAGCTGAAGCACTTCAGGGGGGTTCCTGCGGACGACGCACACAACATCCAGACCCATAGGGACAGCTTGGACTTGCTGGTCAGTGTCACCCCCGTTTCAGTCCCTGTTAAAATGGCTGAAATAGTCTGTTCACTTTCAGGCAGACTCCAGGTATCCTAGAAAAACTCATTCTTTTAATTCCTGGAAAAAGGAAAATTCTGATCAATAGATGCTATGTCTCCGTGTCACGGAGATCGGAGACTTCTAGATTTTCTGTGATTTTTGTCCTCGCCCTCGACCTCCACAGAAAAGCACAGGGTGAAGGAGGCCCCCAGGATGGTCTTTACCGTAACATGTCCCCTCCATTCTCATCTACAGGACAAAGCCCAAGCAAAGAAAGCCATACTGTCTGAACAGAATAGGATTTCTCCTGTGCCCACTGGCGTCCTCACCCCACCACACAGCAGTAAGAAGCAGAGTGATGAGCAGGGGACAGCATGACCACCAGCCTTGTCTACCAAAGCCAGCTCTGCAGGAGTGCCCGTTCTACCCCCGTCTGCTGCGGCAGAGGACTGCGCCAGCCTCACAGGTGTTTGAAAGGAAGAGCGAATCTCTTCCACAATGGAAATATTTCTGCAGATGGCATAGGACAGGGAGAATTGTTTTTTTATATTGAATGCTTAGATTTTTTTAATAAGTGGGTCAAGTACGCCAGCCACCTCCTGATCACCAACGAGTGTTCCAGATGCTGCTAAGGAGGGTGATACTTGACCGATGGACTGTTCACCACACGACAAGGCTGAGAGTTGCAGAACGCCACTGTTGCTGTGGGCCTCCCTCGGGTTCTGGCTCTCCTGGGACTCAGTGGAGCAGGTGGTTGTGAGCAGACGTGATGCCTAGCCCACAGCCAGCCGGGTGGGCACCTGGCCTTCTCACAGTCAGTTGGCAACGTACAATGCCTTGTATGAACTCTTGTTTTGTAAGTGCTGCTATGTCTACCCATTTTTTAATAAAGATAATACTGTCTTTGAGACAGCTGGTTTTATGAGCTATGTCTGGTAACTTAAGTTAGAGGTCATTTCTCTGTTGGACTTCATGCTTCTTGAAGCTTGAGTCTTTTCAAGCAAATACAGTTAAAAGCAAACTTGGGAAGTGAGCTTCAGGGGCAGCTTTCTCTGCTACCTCCTGAGGCTCCCTGAGCTGGGAGTGAGGATGCGCCAGGCCTTCCTCTCACAGTGCCCAGCACCAGTGGCCATTGTGGCAGTCGTGAAACTGCTTCCATATAGGGAAGGTGTGATTTCTTCCCTAAGGCTGGTTCAAGGTCATAAAGAATCTGTAATTAGTATTATCCTTACCCAAACCTTAACCATCTTGATTGAATTTTTGTCGGTAGCCTAACAGTATGTTTTTAAGAACATGCAGAGTACAACGACGTAGCTCAAGGGCGTGATGTCATGACAGTCCATTCCCTGACTATTGATGGAATCACCAAGTGCCTCTGGTGACAGTCACTGTCCCCCCGCAGGCCTTGTGCACATGGCTTGCCTCACATTGGTTGAGCATTTTCCAAGCGGTATCGTTGAGTCTAAGTCTCACTTTCTAACAATGCTTCAGCATGTGTGGGGCGTACACAAGGGAGGGTGAGTGAACAAATACCACTTATTTTCAACTTGGCATTTTATCTTGTTTTGTAAAAATCTGTTTAAAGTAAAAAGAAAAACTGATTTTAAATCCATCCCACATTTGTATGAAGTTGGAGAAAGATCCTGACTTTTGGCATTGACGTAGGTCTGGCAAGTCTTAATGCAACTGTTTTCCTAATAAAAGCATTATAAACTGACGCGTATGGTATGTAGTCAAATGATACAACCCCTAGCTAGTCATTTCTTCATCTCAGAGAGGTTCTAGCCTTAAAAAGCAGTGACTTTTTAATGGTGATCATTTGTAAGTGACTTGGCAAAGTCCTAAAAGTGGTTAATTTACATTTGGCATTTTCTATGCAAAAATGCGGCACTGAAAACATTTCTATTTCCCAAGTTTTATTATAAATTTGAGAGCTTGACAAATGTAATACCAATTTGAAAGCACACTTGAGGTAAATACTACTCCACAGATCATTTAACAAGCCAATATATCACAGAGGGTGTTAACTGTGCTCAAACAGGAATGCCTTATGTGTAAGTTGTTTGAATGACACATTTCTAGAAATCAAGATTTTCTTAAATGGCAGTGTTGCCCTAGGCAGCTCTCAATCATTCGTGCTAATAAAGGATAACTCCCAGCTGGTGACCAAAATCCACAGTAATCCATACTTTCTGTGGCTCTGTCAGAAACCCTAAAAGCCACTCGTAAGTAAAAATCAAGTTTCCCCTCTCAGAGGGGCTTCTTCGTTTTTGCTGGCAGTCGGTGGCTGACTGGCCTTTTTCCTCACCTGCCAGGTCACTTTCATTCTGTTCTTTAGCCCAAACCAACGGAGGCTGGGTGACCCACCACAGAGACATCAGGGGTGAGAAAGGCAGCTTGATCTACTTCGGGTGAGGCCAAGAAGGGTCAGCAGAAAGGACCAGAGCAGAAGTGATGTGGGTGCCTTAATGTTAGAGATGGAGAAACTGAGTAGCTGGTGGACCAGCCACGAGACTGACTAGGCCATGCCCAGCACCTGGCATCCCTGTGCCCAGCAACCGGCCTCCCCGTGGCCCAGCACCACATCCCTGTGCCCAGCACCCACATCCCCATGGCCCACCACCTGGGATCCCTGTGGTATAGCATCCTACATCCATGTACCTAGCATCCACATCCCCATGGCCCAGTACCCAACATCCCCATAGTATAGCACCCTGCATCCACGTACCCAGCACCCTGCATCCCCACGGTATAGCACCCTGCATCCACGTACCCAGCACCCGGCATCCCCATGGTATAGCACCCTGCATCCCCATGGTATAGCACCCTGCATCCACGTACCCAGCAACCGGCATCCCCATGGTATAGCACCCTGCATCCACGTACCCAGCACCCTGCATCCACGTACCCAGCACCCTGCATCCCCATGGTATAGCACCCTGC